ATTCGATGCATCAGCGACATAGACAGTTTGATCATCATCAACATATAAACCCCATGGTTCAGAGAGTTGATTGATTCCATTGCCTTGTCGATTTCCTCCAGCCACAGTGATACCATTCTGTTCCCATCGAGCGTTCGGATGAATGTCAATCGAAACGAAGCATACTGGAATGAAAAAGAAAACGTTAGAGTGTGCATAAGCGTTGACATTATTGAGTTTTGTCGGTTGCTTCATCTGAATAGAATGTTAGATAGTTTTGATGATTTTTATGTTGGAATTTGAAGTGAATCAAATTTCGGGGAAACCCCTTGCCGAAATCATTAAAATACATCAGAATGTATGGGAATGGATTAAAATAGCTAAAACTACTCAAAAATGTGGAAGGACAGTTTCATGCAATAGAATGATGGTTCCATTGATATCTGATACAGGTATCATAGAGTCACACAGCTTCGTGAAATTGTCTAGAGTCTCTTTCAGATGAGTAGCTTTCTCTAGACTGAAAGAATAGGATTTAGAAACAGGAATTCACCTGTGTCTGTCTGTAACAATGGGACAAATGACCATGACTAGCAGATATGACATGAATGACTGCGCAGGATGAAAACGAGTACCTAGGCATTAGGGTTCGTGTTGACTGAGGAGCATTATCCAAAGATGAGGGATAAGAAATCCACTTACACTATGAAACGACGGTGTAGACTCGATATTTCACCGTATACGACCGCATTTCTCTATATACGATTCGAAGAAAAATGATCAGCTACAGATAGGTACTGAGCCAAGCAAAGATCGTACACGGTCTTTGAGTGGGAACTCTGTAAACGATTGTATTTCTCCACATGGTATACGGCGAAATACGATCGTGATATTGAGCCAGGTAACGCATGAATATACGACGGTTTACTTTCGTTTACGAACGTGCTTGTTCGATCAGAGACGGTTCTGGAAATCATAATAATTAGTAGCAAAAAATCGAATGGTTCGATCCATTATTCAATGGTGTATGCACATAAAAATGCGATGTAATAATTATTAAGAGTTCGATAATCAGTCCGAACATTAGCTTATGATAATTTAAAATTCCAGTTCGTGAATAATACAATAATAATTTTTTCACAATAAAAATAGCGCTAATATAACTAATTGTAAATAATTGTATTTATCTCTATTTTATCTTTATAAATGAAAATATGTATAGCATCAATTCTATTTCAAACATCAAGAATACACAAAATAATATAAATGATGAATATTCGAAGCATTTTCAATTTTATGTTTTTCTGTTCAAAATGCTGAAACTTCGAGCATAAAATCCCTAAAGTCATTAAACCCTCTCCCGTAATAGAACCCCCTCCCATATTAGAAGCCTAGGGCTTGTATTACACTCAAGAGTTTTTAGAGTGTTCAAAGTCGGTCTTCCTCTCAGCACTGATAGTTTACCTTGGCAAGCGCTCTGCAAGTGAGAAAGTGTACTAGACAACTCCTCACATAGTGCTTACCGATGGTTCCAATAGTAAAGAAAACGCTTTTCTTCCTCAGCACCATCTTGGGCATGTATTTTGTTATTATAACATCGATGTATAGGCACGCTTTATGTTTGTTCCTTCCATGCATTCAATGATATGTTTGTGAAATAGAATGGTCCAATCTATGAACTTTGCATTGAATAAGCATTGATGTGTATGGCAAAGCTATTCATTCTTATAAGTAAGGCACAATGAAATTAATACAAGTCAATCGATGTCATACGTATGCAGACGTTTTATGATGTAATCTTTGTTAAAGAGACAAATGAAATGAATGAATCTGCTATAAAGATTTAAGCAATAAAGTGAGTGCTTCTTTTATTTCTCTGTCAACGTAGAACTAATTTAACCTGTTGATTCGTCGAGAGTCTTTTTTCAGAGATTCTATACGAATATTCGTTCGTCTACATGAAATGCTGACTCGATAGGCTTCAGACCTGATTGAAATCTGCATTTGTGAATTATACATCTCTTGAGAAAAACCATTAAATGTAATCGCACGTCTATGTGAAGTCCAGAAAATCATCGGTAGATACACCACTTTTGTCTTTGGGAAACTTTAAAGAAAGCATTATATAGTATGTTGATTTACTGTATCTCTTCAGAGATTTTGTACCATCATTCTTACGGTTTCCGGCGAAGATCAACGTGTCAATTCCGTCTTGCTGTTCAAAGGCATAGGTCATGTTTCGGCTGCTGAAGAGAAACAATATGCCAAAGGCATTAAAGTCTTCTTCACACCCAAGGGTGTTATTAATATATCAACGATGAACAAGTACAATGATTGGTTTATCTCACAGGTAGGACTTTCTTTCTATTTTCTGATTGAAAGACTTTTCAGTCATTCTTCTGTAGCTTTTTTCACAGAGATAATTGAAATACTTAATTGCTTGACATAGTTTGTGAAATGTTCGGATCAAAAACGAGTCTTTTCTCAAAAAGAAATGTCTATCCTCTGGATCTATTGATTACCTACTGCATAAACAGTTGTGAACCATAGTCTTCAATTAATCGTCTAAACCATAAGAATGTTTTGAATGTTTTTTTCAGGTTCAAGATGGACATCCTAAGATGTTGATCGTAGACTCAGCCAATTCTCATATCAATCCAGAGACAATTCGTCTTCTTCGAAGAAAAAGTGTTGTAGTTGTTGTAATTCCTACTGGATGTACCATGTACCTTCAATCACTTGATATATTGATCTTCTCCATCTTCAAGAATCATTATACTGATGCTGCAGAAGAATATCTGGGAAAAAACGCTCCAAGAAGCAAAATTAAACTTAGCGCCTTGCAACAAAGAATTCTTTGCACCAGATTAATAATGACCGCATGGCGACGAACGCTGAATAGCATTGACTTTAAAGAAGAATTTAAACATATTGGATACATCTGGGTGGACAATTCACCTGTGTCTCCAAGAACGTTACCCGGCTATACTTTTGATCCAAGTATCATCGACGTTCCATTGTTGCAAATCAATGAAGAAGACGATGAAGAAAGAGAAATTGAAATACAAGCGAAATTAGCCAGGAATCAAAACAAAATATCCACCCAGAAAAATAAACAAACAACATTAAACTACTTTTGGAAGAAGTAGTCTAATTATGTATATTTCTACATGATTTGTTTACCTCAATCTTGTTTTGTAATTTATTACATAAAATAGTATATTTTTTTGTATATTTATATAAAATTTCAGTGTTGTAAGAATATTTGAACTTATCACAAATAAATAGTCAAGATGATTGAAACAATGACTCCATTATATACTTTTCGAAATTTGTGTACGAAAGTCATATAAGTAGCCCACCCCATAATAGAAGCCCCTCCAAAAACTTTGAACGGTGGACAGTTTAGAAGCCCCGAGGGCTTCTATTATGGGAGGATGTTTATACTACTGGCTGTGATTGCATATCTTTGATAGGATTTCAGTAATTCGACATTTATTAATATATGACAGAAAGAAATATTCATCCAATGTATTTCATTATCATTTGACACTGAAAATAGTGTTAAGAACGGTACGAAAGAATAAAAACGACTATAGTGACAACAGTACAACCATCGAAAAATTTTGACAAAACTTCTGTAGAAAGACCAATAACACTACGCTTATAAACTATTGTCTGAAAAAAAATAAAAGGCGAGTGGCCGTTTTTGAATAACTTTTGATAGAAACAAGATAGAGAGCTGCTGTTTTCACCATTTGAAAGAGCGATGTCCAGACCATCGATCGGTGTAGAACACATTAAGATGGAAGATGCTTTTTTATAGGTATTTTTGAATGAACACTTTTTTCTTTGAGTATTTTCATCAATTTTCACAATAATTTCAACTCAAATTATGTCAAAATGTAGCTCCTATCACCCGTTTTTCGCGAAATGGTGTCGTTTCAGCGAAAAGCATTTCAGCGAATGACTTTTTCAGCGAAAAATGATTTAGCGAAAATAATTTACAGCGAAAAAACATGACAGCGAAAAGAAATAATAGCGAAAAACTAAATTAGCGAAAGAGCAAAACAGCGAAAAATAAGAGATAGCGAAAAACTTTCAGCGAATTTTTTTTCTTGGTGAGCTCCATCTACCGATCTATGAGAATAATTCATCGTGGTTAATATATTTACAAGTAACCGTCCTTGTTTATTTTTTCCTTCTCTGTTGTACTTGTACGGACGAAATAATCGACTGTTTTCTTCTCTTTTATCATACGCATTCTTTTATAGATCATACGTCCGTACTACATACATCATTTTATTTATTTAACTAAACTAAGTATGACTGATCCACCATCGATCTATTTTACCACTTCGAATCGAGGCAAGTCTTTGCTCGTTTACTCAGGATATATTCATCGACTTAAAAAGTCGACGGAGAAAGTGAAATATTGGGTTTGTCATAGTGATGGCTGTTTGGCCACCATTCACACAAACAAAAACGACGAAATTCTTATAGCTGATGGTCATCATTATCATATACCTGATCCAGAACAAATCGAACTTCGAAACTTAAGAAAAAAAGTGAAAGATAGAATACAATCTGAAACTAATTCTATACCTAAAATATATGAAGCAGAATTAGCTCGTTCAAATCTATCTTCAACAGCTTTAACTCTTGCACCTGTTGCTGTTGAAATTATTAAGTTTATCATCAATCGAAACATCCAATGCCTTTTTTTATATAGAATCGGTTCTTAATCGTGTTCGTCGAAAAACAACTCCACCTCTACCAACATCAGCTGATTTTGATATTCCTGATTT